ATTGCAGCTGCTATTTGGGGTCATTTATGGTTGCATATATATATTTAAAGTGTTTGTTCTATGTCTGTGAAGTATGTCATTGGTACTTTAATAGGTATTGCATTGAATCTATAAATTGCTTTGAGTCGTATGGACATTTTGATGATGTTAGTTCTTCCAATCCATGAGCATGGTATATGTTTCCATTTGTTTGTGTCTTCCTTGAGTTCTTTCTTCAGTGTTTTGTAGTTTTCTGCATACAGGTCTTTTCCTTCCTCGGTTAAGTTTATTCCCAGATATTTTATTTTTGTTTTTGCTATACTGAATGAGATTTTTTTCTTAATTTCTGCTTCTGCTAATTTATTGTTAGTTTTTGTCCAGGTGAGTATGAGAACCTAGCAGACATGACAGGGAGCAATCAGAGAGACTGCAAGCCTAGAATGTTTATCTGAGGCCACCTGAGAGCCATTTTGGTGTAGTGCAGACCCCAGGGATCTCGGGAGCTGTTTGCCAGCTTGATTATAAATCACCATATTTTGTATGAGGTGAACAAGCAAAGTAGACACTGACCTCAGTGACACAAGGGTCAGTGTTGCCAATTGAATAATACTGGAAGTGCAAGTAGAAGCAGAAATGAGAGGTCAGTGCTTCCAATAGAAGTAGAGCATCAGCCAAAGTCTTATTAGTTATCCAGCAGAGACCTAGGGTGCTGCTGCGGAGGGATATTAAGGGATGTGAGAGCGTTTCTTTTTATTTTTAAAAGGTGGCATATTCGTCTCCGTAACAATGAGAAAGATTCAGAGCAAGAAATCCTTTAAATTACACCCTTGTCACGGTATTTCATGAAGCAAATATTTCACAGTATCTCCTCTCACTGTGGGTCTCACATTAAGAAGTGGATTTACTATGTGAAAAGGGGAACACTAATGACCTTTGCAGTGGTTTTATTACTTGTGAAGATATATATGCATTTGTTTTTTATTTCCTTTTTTGATCACAAACTGTCTGAGAGACTTTTGTTTCTGTGTGGTAAGGTTAGACTGTTCCTATCCTTGTCACTGATCACATTCATGCAAAAAACAATTGAGGGTTTTCTTTCTTTCTCACAAAATGACTGTTGGTCATTCACTTCTTTTAAGTATGTATAGCTATATGGTGGGAATGTATGAGACTTTATAAATTTTGTGTGGTCAGTTCCAAGAGGAATTATCATGAATCTTTTATCAAGATGACCAAGATAATTGCTGGTACAGATGTGGAGAAAAAGGAGCACTGTGTACTGTGGGTAGAAATATAATAGAAATAGAGCTACTATGTGATCCAGAATGTCACTTCCATGTATAAATTCTAAAGAAATGAAATCACTGTCCCAAAATTATGTCCGTGCCCTCATTAGGTTCATTGAAGCATTATTCACAATAGCTAAGACATGGAACAACCTAAGATGCCACCGATGGATGAATAAAGAAAATATGGCCCTGGCTGGTGTGGTCAGTGGATTGAATACTTGCCTGCTTCCTAGAGGTTGCTGCTTCGATTCCCAGTCAGGGGAACTGCCCAGGTTGTGGGCCAGGTCCTGAGTTGGGGGCATGAAAGAGGATGTATCCCTCGCACTCGATGCTTCTCTTCCTGTCTCTCTCTAAAAGTAAATAAATAAAATATTTTAAAAAAGAAAATATTACATATAATACATATAATAAAATATTATTCAGCTTTTTAAAAAATGAGATAATCATGTCATTTCCAACCACAGGGATAGACTTTTAGGGCATTGTAATAAATAAGATAAGACAGAAAAAGACAAAACTTGGTGTGATCTGTCTTACAAGTGTAATGAATAAAGCCAAATTCAAAGAAACAAAGAGTGGACATGTGATTGCCTGGAACTGGGGGAAAAGAAGATGTGGAAATAGTCAAAGGGTAAAGACTGGTATACGATGTATAAGATCACGGAAATCTAGTAAAGACCTAGGTGACTCTAGTTAGTAGTACTGTATTATACACCTGAAAATTGCTAAGAAAGTACATCTTAAATGTTTTAACCACAAAGAGGGTAATTGTATAATGTCCTGGATGTGTTCACTAGTCACACTGTGGTAAAAATATTACAATATATGTGTAATGCATCATCCTAGTACACAATTTAAAGTTGCACAAAGTTACATGTCAGTTATTTCTCAGTAAAGCAGGAAAATTTATTTATTTATTTATTTATTTATTTATTTATTTATTTATTTATTTATTTATTGTTAGAGAGAGGGGAAAGGAAGGAGAAAGAGAGGAAGAGAAACATCAGTGTGTGGCTGCCTCTCATGTGCCCTGCACCAGGACCTGGCTCAAAACCCAGGCAGGTGCCCCTACTGGAAATCAAAGCAGTGAGCCCTTGGTTCCAGGTCCATGCTCAATCCACTGAGCCACATCAGCCAGTCCTTGAACTGGAAAGATGTTGATGTGATTCCCATCAAAGTTCACCTTCTACTCAGTTCATACTGAGCAGGTTGCTGCACCCTCTAAGTCCCATTTCTGCAAAAGTAGAGTGAAGTTAACAGTGGTATGATCTCAAAAAATGGACTTTAGTGGAACTGAAATAAGACAATCCATATAAGAATCTAAGTTCAAAACAGTGCATAAAGTCATCAAAGTATATCTTACAATTACGAAAGTTTTTTTTTTTGCAAATTTGCATATATTAATGTATTTAAATCAAACTCACATATGCAAATATAGTGTGGTGGACATAGAATTGCCATGGAGATTGAGTCTAAGCTTTTTCTTACCTCATGGACTCAGTGATCCAGACATAAAATCAGAGAAATAGAAATACCAGAAAGATGGTTTAAAAAAGGAAGCAACCTAAGAAGTGTAATAAAGTATTTGAATAATCATAAGTAAATCTATAAGCATAGATAGAAATAAGTCCTGCATTTCTCAAAAACTGTATTGAATACTTAATTACTTCCATTCTCAATTACCTTTAGTTTAGAGTCTCCTGAGACTGTTTTGTACAACCTCAGCAGGGTGACCAAGTTTATTGATCGATTTATTCGGCATTGTTTGAGCATTTGTTGAGCACCTGTCATTGAAGTAAGCACCGCCTGTCACCCTTTCTGGGAAAGAAGAGATGCTTTTACTTTCCCCCAAAGTTTTTGTTTTGTTTTTTTTTTAGGAGAGGCAGTGAAATGTAGCAGTTCATAGTGTTTTTTCCTTTTTCTTTTGGTTTTGAACCAGAATGTGGTCTTTCTTTGTCAATGGGCCACATGTTCTTGAAAATATGTGTTCTGCTGTTATTGGTTAGAGAGTATTTTAGAAATATTAGTTAGATTAAGGTAGTAGATAGTGTTATTTGGGTGCTCTATATTTTTACTGATATTTTTGTTATTGTCTGGTTCTGCAAATATTTTGTTAAAATATATTTTATTGATTATGCTATTACAGTTGTCCCATTCTTTCTTTCCTTTATTCCCCTCTGCCATGTAGCCCCTTCCCACCAGCATCTCTCCCACCTTACTTAGTTCATGTCCATGGGTCATACATATAGATTCATTGGCTTTTCGTTTCTCATACTATTCTTAACCTCCCTGTTTCAATTTTGTACCTATCATTTATGCTTCTTATTCCCTGTACCTTTTGGCAAATATTTTTACATGAAGCACTAAATGCCAGCTCTTAATTGGTGTTACAAGCATGAACCAGCCAACTGACTTTTCAAAAGCATCATATGGCCAAAGATCAGAGTACTGTGGTTCTATAGCAAAGAAACACCCAGTCCTACTTGTTCAAGAGAGGAAGAGCAATTTCTAGAGATAGGAGGAGCTCCTGCTCACCACCTGTAAGTACTCTAGGAGTCCACGAGACCTAGTCAGGGCAGGGTCCTCAGTCTTAAATTTGGAGAAAACAATGGCACAAGATTGGGAGGAGGTGCAAGGAGGTAAGACCTCTGGAAGGCAGGTGAGTTCATAGAAAAGTAATAATAAAGCTGGATTCACCTGACTTCTAATGGGGTCTACAGGGATGCAGACTCAGCAAGAAAAATTTCCCTTCTGTCCACATCAGTGTCCTAAGGGATATGATGTACTCAGAAGTGGGAGTAACAATGAAGAGAGCATCTAATGAGCAGATATAGGCTGCTGAAAATATCACCTCTGCTGTATTTACAACCTTGGACTGGCCAGAATAGGGTTGTTGCTTTTGGAGACCCAAGTCTGGTTAGGGACCAAAGCTTCACTCCTTCCTTCTCCCTTGTCTGGAGATAGAGCTTCAGTCTCCATCATCAGCCATCCACAGACCAGTTCAGACTTGCACACGGAGGCCTTCTCAGAACCTCATCCAGGTGAGTCTGAGAGCTTTGGAGGTACTGAAGCAGGGGTATGTGAGAAGATGTACTGCAAAATGTGACCCTTAAAATTGAGATGTAGGATGTTAACCAACACATGAAAATAAGGGGAAATTGTTTATGTCCACAATATTACATGGAATCAAAATTAATAAAGTGCAAGGAAAAACTGTGGACAAGAGATTCCCTGTGACTTGAAGTTTCAGTAGCAGCAGAAACGTCACTTCATTCCCCTTATTCTCTGATCATCTCTCATTTCTCTCCTCTTGCTCATTTGCCTCACCATGTGACTCAATTTTTAGTCTTGAATGTCTGGAACAAGTGTCAACTATGGGTCTTTGCACTGGCTCTTTCCCTGCAGGGCATACTTCTTGCAAATAAACTAGTGTCTCCTGCTTTCTCTCCCTTGAGGTCCCTGTTCCAATGAAATCTGGTTCTTAGGTCTCTGTGAATTCTCCATAAATAAATCCCACATCCACTCTCTTTTGTGCATGCTCTTTCCCCACATAGCATTGTAATTGTAGCTTCTCCAACTTGATAGTTATGCTCATTTATGTAATTTTTTTGTCCTTGTAGTGACCACCACCCCATGGTCCAAGGCAATGATACCCCAACTTCAGAATTTCTTCTCCTGGGACTATCAGAGGCACCAGAACTACAGCCTGTCCTATTTGACCTGTTCCTCTGCATGTACCTGATCACTGTGTTGGGAAACCTGCTCATCATCCTGGCTGTCAGCTCAGACTCCCACCTCCACATACCCATGTACTTCTTCCTCTCCAACCTGTCCTTGGTAGACATATGTTTCACTTCTACCACCATCCCAAAAATGCTGGTGAACATCCAGACACAGAGCAAAGCCATCTCCTATGCAGGCTGCATCACCCAGATGTATTTTTTTCTATTGTTTGGTGTGTTGGACAACTTTCTTCTCACTGTGATGGCCTATGATCGTTTTGTGGCCATCTGTCATCCCCTTCAGTACACGGTCATCATGAACCCCCAGCTCTGTGGACTGCTGGTCCTGGTGTCCTGGGTCACAAGTTCCTTGTATTCCTTGTTGCAAAGCTTAATGGTATTACAACTCTCCTTCTGTGCAGACTTAGAAATCCCCCATTTTTTCTGTGAACTCAATCAGATGAACCAACTTGCCAATTCAGACACCTTTTTTAATGACATAGTGATGTATTTGGCCACTGGGTTGCTGGCTGGTGGTCCCCTGGCTTGTATAATTTACTCTTACTATAAGATAGTGTCTTCCATATGTGCAATTTCATCAGTTCAGGGGAAGTACAAAGCATTTTCCACTTGTGCATCTCACCTCTCAGTTGTCTCTTTATTTTATTGTACAGTCCTAAGTGTGTACCTCAGCTCTGCCAGTACCCACAGTTCACAGTCAAGTGCAGTCACCTCAGTGATGTACACTGTGGTCACACCCATGCTGAACCCCTTCATCTACAGTCTCAGGAACAGAGACATAAAGGGGGCTCTGAAAAGAGTTGGGGGGATGGCACGTACAAAGGGGACTATTGTGCTTAGGCTGAAAATGTGACATTTTGTGGGTGGCTCAACAACTCAGACCAGAAACTGTGAGTGTTTGATTCCCTTGGATAGACTGTCTTCTCTTTATTTTTTGGTGGGTTCATTTTCTTGTATTCATTCATGTTCTCTATAAGTTTAAGTAACTCACTTTACAAGCTTTTGCTACAATGCATGGACAGTTTTCCTTTGAGAAGTTTTTTAAATTTTTTAATTTAATTTTAAAAAATATTTTATTTATTTATTTTCAGAGAGGGGAAGGCAAGGAGAGAGGGAGAGAAATATCAATGTGTTTGCCTCTCATGTGTCCCCCACTGGGAAGTGGCCTGCAACCCAGTCATGTGCCCTGACTGGGAATCAAACCACGATCCTTGCTTCAGAGGCTCTGCTCAATCCACTGAGTTACACCAGCCAGGGCTAAAAATTTTTAATTTTAATTATTGTTCAAGTACAGTTTTCTGCCTTTTCCCCCCACCAGAGCCCCACCCCCTGCCCTCTCTCCTGTTTTACCCCACCCCACCCTGCCCGGTATGGTATATGTGTGCTTTATATTTGCTCCTGCAAACCCTCCACACTTTTCCCCTAAAATTCCCTCCCCTCTCCCCTTTGGTCACTGTCAGCCCTTTGACAATTTTTATATATTATGAAAGTGTTTCTCAACATTGGATCAGAAATATTTGGAAAATTCCATATCTTTCATAGGAAAACTTAGATTTCTCTAAAATACATTCTCAAATGACAAATATCATGCTAAGAAAACTCTCCTTTTTTCTGAAAGAATAATCAGAGTTCTACTACTCAGACAAAACAACATTTGGCATCTTAGGACTTTCATTTAATTTCATTGTACAGCAAAATATAAAACTGTTTTTTAATGTGTGTCTGTCATTTTTTCTTTTCTTTTAAATTATTTTATTATTGTTCAATTACAGTTGTTTGCATTTCCCCCCAGTTTTATGTCACTATCTTAAGAACTCTCCCTAATAATGTAGATTTTAAACATTGTTGCATTTTTGTATCAACCTGTTGATAATGCTGGTAGTCTTAAAATGCCTGGGTAACTCACCTGGTCCCTGAATTCTTGTGACACTACCATGAGCCAATGTTGTGGCTGGACCAGGCCTTGTGATTCTTATTAGGATCTCATAGCACTGCTCAGCCAAAACCCTAAGAGAACCTGGTAAAAGCAAGTTTGTCACTCAGAGATTGGAGGGTACAGATGTTCCTAAGGTCCACTGACAAGGTGATGGAGAGAGAAGGCAGGGGAGGGAGAGAGAGGGAGAGAGGGTGAGAGAGAAGGAGATAGATAGAGAGAGAGAACATTAATGTGGGTTCTGCAGTTATTCAGATCTGAGGGCAGGATGGATAGAGTTTCAAAGCTTCACTCTTTATTGGTGAATTTAAAACTTAAGATAAGGTGTCCGGGTGTGAAAATGAAACAGTGGGTCAATGCTGAGGTCAGTTATCTAAGTTCTCTAGGGCTTTCTGTAAGGGGGGCCTTCACAGGGGAGTGGGCCAGGGTGCTTAGCTAGCAGCTGCATCAGAAAGCTGGCCACATGTTTCTTCAACACGGTTATCTTTGAAGTGAAAGCTTTGGAAATCAAAAGTTTCCTGACAGGCACTTACTCTACAAACATGCCACTCTGCTTCATAGCTGCTCTCCTGCTTTCATTGTCTTATTTAGCTCAGTGTCCCAATGCCCACTGGAGGCACTGACAGAAATTGACCATCACATACACACCCACAGTGAAGTCTACATGGACAGCAAGATTTGATTCATTAACCTAATATGGCCTGAGTGTCAGAGATGACCCGAAATATGATGGGACAAAATTGTTAGTCACTAATTTTATTACTGTGCAAAGTATTGCTTTTCCTTGCTGTACTCATGGAAGTATGGAAGACTGATGCCCATGTGTAAGGGGCTTTCTGCATTGGGGTAAGTTGTTGGTTAGTATATTTTACCTCTTTAATAAATTCTATTTCTTTCTCTGTTTGAAAATTCCGGTGCTGCCTACCATTATGACTCCTCTATCAGCCTAAGCAAAACATTTCTTCTTTTCTAAATTTTGTCTTAACCACTAAAGGAACAATAAATGTAAAGTTTCCAGATTATCAATTGTATGTCTCTCTCATGCTCAGGAATCTCTTCTCAGAATTAAAAATGACTCACAGGAGAGGCTGAATCCCTTCCTGGTCACCTGATTCAGGATCACCAGGTTTTCTGCACAAATGTGTGTGAGCTTGCAAAATCTTGGAGACCCCTAGCAGGGAAGCTCTGTACAAATGAACTTTGTTTCACAGTACAAAATTTCATTTGTACTGTGAGTGCAGTTATCCGTAGTTTCATTACAGACAATTGTACTCACAGGTGACTGTATTTTGAATAACAAAATAATCACGGGCTATCCCAAATATCAGAACATATGTAAAATATAAAAAACAGAATTATTATATTTGCCTTTAGTGCAGTTTGCTTTGATTATTGTATCAGCTACTGCTGCATAACAATCACCCTAAATAGAATGGTTTATTATAATGCCTTTATCATTGAGTGGGATTTTATGATGGAAGTTGTTTTGATCTCTGTTTATATCTCCTAAGTGTGCATCATATGTGAGTCTCTGCCTTGCATGTTATGTCTCATCCTTGATGTTGTGTGAGGCTGTAGTGCACCTCTGTCTTGAACCAATTTATGTGCACTTAGCTGTATAGGTAGATTAAACATCTGTTTACAAAAAATGAGATTATCAAATGTAATAACTGTAATTTAATCCCGCTATTTCTATCTATATATGACACTTGTCTACCCAGTTAGAAGACATGCCTCCAACACCTGATAAAATGTGTCTCGGCTACTATATTCTTGATGATACCTTGAGACATGAGACTTTTCAATATTTTATTGGAGTATAATGACATACAATAATGCCCATGTATTTATATTTTAAATGTATTTTATTAATTATGCAATTACAGTTGTCCCATTTCCCCCCTTAATTCCCCTCCACCCTGCCCACTCCCTTCCCCCACATTCCCCCACTTTAGTTCATGTCCATGTGTCATAAGCTCTTTAGCTTCTACATTTCTCACACTACTCTTGCTCTCTCCCTGTCTATTTTCTACTGACCATCTATGCTATTTATTGTCCGTACCTTTTCTCTCTCTCTCCTCCCACTCCCCTGTTGCTAACCCTCCATGTGATCTCCATTTCTGTGTTTCTGTTCCTGTTGTAGTTATTTGCTTAGATTTGTTTTGTTTTTGTTTTAGGTGTGGTTGTTAATGAATGTGAGTTTGCTGACACGTTACATGTCTTTTATCTTCTTTTTCTTAGATAAGTCCCTTTTACATTTCATATAATAAGGGCTTGGTGATGATAAACTCCTTGAAGTTGACCTTATCTGAGAAGCACTTTATCTGCCCTTCCAATCTCAGTGAAAGCTTTGCTGGATAGAGCAATCTTGGATGCAGGTCCTTGTCTTTCATGACTTGGAATACTTCTTTCTAGCCCCTTCTTCCCTGCAAGGTCTCTTTTGAGATATTAGCTAACAGTGTGATGGGCACTCTTTTGTAGGTAATTGTCTCATTTTATCTTCCTGTTTCTGAGATTCTCTTTTTGTTTTTAGTCTTGGAAAATGAAATTATGATGTGCCTTGGTGCGTTCCTCCTCAGGTCCAACTTCTTTGGGACTCTCTGAGCTTCCTGGACTTCCTATTTCCTATGCCAGATTGGGGAAGTTCTCCTTTATTATTTGTTTAAATACGTTTTCCACTTGTTGCTCCTCCATCTCCCCTTCTGATACCCCTATAAGTCAGGTGTTCGAATGTTTAAAGATGTCTTGGAGCTTCCTAAGCCTGTTCTCATTTTTTTTGAATTCTTGTTTCTTCCTTCTTTTCTGTTTGGTTGTTTATTTCTTCCTTCTGGTCCACTCCATTGATTTGAGTCCCAGTTTTCTTTCCATCACTATTGGTTCCCTGTGCATTTTCCTTCATTTCACTTAGTGTAGCTTTCATTTTTCCATGTAATTTGTGACCAAAATCACCCAGTACTGTGATCATCCTGATCACCAGTGCTTTGAACTGTTCATCTGATAGGTTGGCCACCTCTTGGTCGCTTAAAAGTATTGGCTCTGGGACTTTGATTTGTTCTTGCATTGTGTGGGTTTTTTGTCTTCTTTTTGGTTTGGTCACACCTGTTATGTATGAGGGTCAGAGCCTTAGGTGTTCACCAGGGTAGTGCAATGCAGTGGCTGGGTTGTGATGCTATATTTGGGGGCAGGGTCAGAGAGGGAACAATGGTGCTTGTTCCACTCTCTTTCTTGAATTTTGGTTTCTTGAATTTTGGTCCCCTCTGCTGCTTCCTACAAGCAAAGTGGTCCCTTCTGGTTCTGGTTCCCTTTTGGGTGGGCTTGTGTACATTCTATGATTCTTTGGATCCCTTCCACAAACTCTCCTGTGAGGCTGGGAGTCTCTCCTGGCAGCTTTTTAATCATTGCTTTTAGGCTTTATTTTCTGTTGCTGGGTCCCTGGGTTCCTAGGTCTATCTTGCTGCCCATTTTTGCCTAGTTTATCTGGATGCGAATGTGGTCAGCCAACTGCCTTGCGTGTTCTGCTCATTTCTTCCCTCTGCCTGGGGTCTGCTAGCCCTGTACTGCCTGCACTCCTGGGTCTGGCAGCCACTGCCTTCTCCTGTTGGGGACCCTCTCAGCAAGCTGCTGACTACGCCCCTCTTACTGATCTGGATAAATGGTTGTTGGGCTTCTGTCCATTTCAACTTTCTATCTGTTCTGGTTGTGCTTTTGTTCCTAAATCTCTATTGTCCTTCAATTTGGTTGTGCAAGGAAGCACAGTGTCTCCACCTATGCTTCCATCTTGGCTGGAAGTCCCAACTCCTCCTTTTTGAGCTGGTCCTCTGCATGTACCTAATCACTGTGTTGGGAAACCTATTCATCATCCTGGCCATCAGCTCAGACTCCCACCTCCACACACCCATGTACTTCTTCCTCTCCAACCT